AACCAAAGATACATTTTGCATAGAATCCTCCTCTCTCTTTCATTTTAGGAAGTAAACTATTCCACAAGAACTATTCCCACGGTAAGGATGCCAGTCTCCAATGATTAGACAGCATTAAAACAGTGTTTGTTTATCTTTGCAAGGCATAAGTTATGCAGGAGAACTCACTGGAATAAGTCAACAATAGATGAACTCCCTGTGGTGCCTGTGGCTTTGGTTTTAGCAGCAGAAGTTCAGAGTACAGGAGTCCTCACATGCTCTCTTGGTGTGTGATAGCTGGTCTTGCCAAAATCACAAGACTGTCCTTTTTAATAAACTGGTGGGTTACTGATTGAACAGAAGTAGATGTGGCCCCAAAGAAGCATTTCTTAATGCAGGGAACAATGTGTCTTTGTACCGGAAAATCTTAACTTTTAAAATAGTGTTCTCCTATTTCAGTTTTTAATCTTTCCCAAATAGCTGTTAACCAACTAGTGTGGTACCAGATTGACCCACAAAATGCAAGAAATGCTACAGTTTTGTGGGTGGGCTGATTTCTATTTTTTTCCTGACACAATAAATTATGACACAATGGATTATGGGACTCATCCCCACCCCAAATCCCTAATTTTCCCTCTGCCACTAGAGCTTCTACTTTTTAAAAAAGAAAAAAAAGGAATCCATTCACATTACTTCAGACAGTGTGGTCACTTGAACCAATGCTGAACAGTGTGATGGCTTGGTGTGGGTGGACAAAGATCTTTGAAAAGAATATAATTTCTTACAAAAAAAAAAAAACCAGCTTCATGCTACACTTAAGTACTAGGACACTTCAACAGCAAAAACAAAAAAAGGGAACGTGATAAAGAAAGAAGAAGGAAATAGATATTTTCTCTTTGTTTACAACTTGTTACAGCTTATTCAGTAACTTTTCTGAAACTGTGCCACCTGCTGGGCAATAAGACAGCTACATTAACAAACTTCCAAAAAGGTTTTCCTCCTGTGTAGCCAATTAATTCAGACAGACCCAGGAAAACCCAAACTCCCTCATGCGACTTCATAGTGAGTGAATGTGAATACATTTGCAATTCTCTCACTGTGTAGTTTCAAGATTGTGTTCTGAATTGCATGTTTCATTGCAATTATCAGCACTTCACTGTACCTGGCATTTTATTCTATTGTTTCTTCTGCTTCTGTTACTTTTTGCCAGATTTCTATTGGGATCTTATTCTGGAGCACGTGAAATTGTAACCCCCCTATTACAGCAGCTCCACTGGGTGCTGATCTACTATATTTTTCCATTTATAACATGTGCCTCTTTATAAGACAGCCCCCACACATTTTTCTAACCCAAAAATTAAGAAAACTTAGCTTTGAGGATTCAGCCTCTGGGCTCAGAACAGTCAGACATTTTGTCCCTGTTGAATCTGAGCCTAGAGGCTGCACCTCTAACGAGGTGTGTCCTAATTGGTTTGTTCAGCATCAGCTGACATCAGTTACATAAGGCTCATGATTGGAGGAAGCTAAGTCTCCTGACTGCAGGAAGCCTGTTTACAGAGGCAAGGTATGGGCCGTTTTGTTCTCTCCTCAGCTAACTTCTGTGTAAAAGACACCCTTTGATTTTTAGTGTAATTATTTTTGAAAAAAAGTGTCTTATACTCAGACAAATATGGTACTGTATTTCTGGCCACAATACAAAGTGCTGGTTTTAACTTATAAAGCTCTAAATGGTCTGAGTCCAAGCTATCTCAAAGACCATATTTCCCATTATGACTCAGCTCATGAGTTAAGATCATCTGGAGAGATCTTTCTCTCAGGTGTGTCTGATGGGGACACAGGATAGGGTGTTCTTTGTTACCGTTCCCAAATTTTGGAACTTCGTCCCACAGGATGTCAGACTGGCCCCATCTTTGCTGTTGTTCCACAAGCAGGCAAAGGCCTTTCTTTTCAGCCAAGCTTTCCCTCAGTGACTGGCTGCATGAGTGTGACTTTTAGACGGATTGTTATGCACCACGGCTGTAGGTCTTTAGTACTACTTGTGTTTATTATCTCTTAGAGTGGTCTTGTTTGTTCCTTTTAATATTTGTATACTTATTATTTTAGCTTTAATATTGTTTTTAATGGTGCAAGCTGCCTCTTTATATTCATTGTTCTTATCTTTAAATATTGTCTGTTAATGATGTAAACAAGTTTATTCATTGTTTACAGCTTTAAATATTGTTTTTCAATTATGTAAGCCAACTTGGGTCCTTTTTAAGGAGAAAGTCAGGGTAAAAATAGTTTAAATTAATAAATTAAATAAATAAATAAATAATTAATTATTTGCCATATAGAAGTTGCAAAAGTTTAAGACATGCTGAACCCCTGGTTATGAATTCAAACTCCACATAAAAGTATTCATGGCTGAAAAGGTTTAATAAACCAAATTATTTATTTATATCCATTGTCTCCACACTTTCAGAAGGTAGGAATCTTGGAGTCTTTCCACATTGAAAGCTCCCGACACAAGCTATCAGGAGGCAATATGCAGCTATTCCATTTTCCTCCCATCTTAATGGATCTGTGTGATAAGGAAAGAAACAGAAATGTTATAGAAAAAGAAAGGAAGGTTAGGAGTGAAGAGTGTCGTCTGAAGTCTTAGTAAAATTCTGTGAAGTAGGAAAGATGGGGTGTGAGAAAACCCTTGTCTAAAACTGCTTATATCAAATGTACAAGAGCAGCTAATACTGTACAACATTTAACAGCAAAAAGAAATACAGTAGTTTGATTTCAAATCAGACCTGCATCAGGAAGAGAGGTGGCTCAAAAAGCAGCTGCAAAAGACATCTGAGAGCTGAGGGTATGTTCCCCCACTCCAACTACACAATCCATACCTGAAGTACTCTCAGCCTCCCTCAACCTGTTACACAAGGTGTATCTCCTGTCTCCAACCTTATGTCACAGTCCATAGCTCAGTGGGGTTTCATTTAGCCCATAGTGACCAAATTATAAAAGGCACTTGATCAGGCAGAGTTGCTTCATAATTGGCTTTGTTTTCCAAATTTAACATCAGAGACTGCTAAAGCCAATGATGAGATGGAAAGGCAATTATTTAACTTTTTGTGTGCTATTATCTCATTAAGATTTATGCTGAAAATCTAACAGGGGATATATGGAAGGTATATGAGAGAGAGAGTTTTAAACAGTTTAAGAATCCCCTTGTATTGTCCTTCCTCTTTAATTTGCAGCCTTCTGGCTGAACTTTGAGTGGTTGTGATGATCTAGACATGACTGAGAGTCATGCGTACATTGCCCCTAAGGCATCCATTTCTTTTTCAATGCATTGTGTTATTCTGTGTTACAAAGAAACAACGACCTGCAGCAGAGTAGAACAATAAACAACAGAACAACAGGCCTTTTACACAGCAAGCTGAGTTGAACCAACTCACCAAGAAGCACACTCCTGGGGCATAGCTGTTTTTCTTAAGGGGGGCACATATTAAATGTCTGGCTAAACCAGAATATATTACACATCTTAGAACAGCTCCATATTATACTACCAAATGCCCCAGGAACTGCAGTTCAGACTTAATATCAGGATTACACATCTCCTCTCCAATAATCTGAACCATTAATACGGGGCTACTTGGCAATGTATAAAATCTGCAGATCTTTCATCCTTTGGTACACTGCAGCACTTCATAGAACCATAGGATCCAATCATTAAGCCTCTCAAACACTAAGCATGAAAAACAGACATTGTTAATTGTCAGGAATAATTGATAGCACAGTTCCCATGCCTTAAAATGGTAACATGGATGCACACCCCTTCCTTGACTGTACACAGTCCCCTTCAGAACTCAGTGTTTATATAATTCCACCCCTACAGGATGGGTCTGAGGAGGGGCACAGTGAAAGACTTCACACTGAGATCCTTCAAAGCTCTAGTGTTGAAAAGAATCTTCCAGGTGATGACTAAAATTCTTGTTGCATAGGCCGCCAGGACATTGATATATATTTGGATTCCAGGCCTTTACATCTCTACATCACTGAGGTCTTGAGATCCTTCAAAGCTCTAGTGTCGAAAAGAATCTTCCAGGTGATAACTAAAATTCTTGTTGCATGGGCCACCAGGACATTGATATGTACTGTATTTGGATTCTAGGCCTTTACATCTCTACATCACTGAGGTCATTGTTCAGTGGTGGAGAAGGCACAGGGAAGATGCTTTGCACATGTATGTAGCTTGCATAACGAATGGTGATGGGGAAAGGGAGTAGTTCATCCAACATCTGGAGGACTACATGCTACCTATCCAGTTAGAGGTGGTGGTTTGCCTTTCATGGCTTAAAGGAAGTATATACTATGGCTACCTAATGTACAAAGAAAGGGGCAATACAAACCACTGTTTTGGTCCTACTGAATGAATATATGGTATATTACAGAAATAGAGTAGAACCTATATGCCATAGGCAATTAACGTCTGATTAATAAAGATACAGTTTTCTTAAACAAACATTATCATCCAAATAAGGCAGCTGGAAGAATGGGGAAAGTATGATAGTTTGCTTCAAGTCCCCATAAAGCAAGGGGTGGCCAGGTTTGGATCCTGTGCACACTGTTGAGTCCTGTTCCAGCCCTGCTCACTGAAACTCCACACACACCCAGGTTCCTTGTGAAGGGCAGTGGCTGAGCTTTGAATATCACACCTGCCTTGAGCTAGGGGAAAAATCCTTTTGGGACTACAATAATTCTTAGCCTATATGGATGATGACCATGTGGCCATACTGACCGGGAGGGCTCTAAGACCTGTAGTACCAAAAAAAAAGGGGGACTCTCCCAAGCTATGAATGACCTTCATAACTTCTCTGAATGGCCCTGGTTTCCAAGATGAAAAAACACAGAATAATTCATCGGCTGCTTAGTGGTATGAGGGTGGTGGGGCAAGGCTTAGGGATTCAAGAATGGTATGAACTTAACACATTAAAAATAAAGGCTGCAATGCATGGTTTGTCAATTTACAAAGTGAGTTAGCAACTTGACTGTGACTTTTGATCTGATCTCACACTGTTATTCAAACAGCAGCACTGCCAACAAAATGCTGGGACACGTGCATGAAGCTGTTACTTTGAATGAGTTGCCTCAAGTGCAAGAATGCCAACTTTAGACGACATTTTAGAGCATATTGGAGAGTTTGACTTATATCAGAAAAGGGCTTTTTTTGTCCTGTGTTTGCTCTCTGCTGCTTTCACACCCATCTATGTAGGCATTGTCTTTCTAGGTTTTATACCAGAGCACCATTGCTGGAGTCCCGGGGTTGCTGAGTTAGGGCACAGATGTGGCTGGAGTCTGGAAGAGGAGCTGAATTACACATTGCCAGCTCGAGGAACCCATGGAGATGCTTTTGCTAATCAGTGCAAGAGATATGATGTGGACTGGAATGTAACTGAGTTGAGCTGCACAGAACCAATTGATTTTTTCACCACTTACAGGAATAAAAGCAGTATCCCGCTCATTCCCTGTCAAGATGGCTGGCATTATGATTTCTCAGGATCATCTATTGTGACTGAGGTAAGAAGAACCCATACAGCAATATAGTTGTTTTTAAGCAGATAGTACTAACTGAGAAGCAATGTACAGTAGATGAGATAATCTGCTCCACATTTAGAAGTGGTGCTCCCTAAAGTGATAAAAAAAGAGAGATCTGATTAACCTAGCAGGAGTGTTATTTCCATGTTTTGCAAATTATCTTGGTTTCTTTGGTAATTGTTACCAGGAGGTAAACACAGATTTCAGTTGTAAGGAAGGCTGCTCAGATATGAAACTCTGAAATAATCACACTGCTGATGGGAAACCTGTTCTCAGCTTTTTATTATAAGCTCAGTATCTCATCATACAGCCAACAAGGCATTAGACACAGGGGTGACCCAACTATGAGGCAGAGTGAGGTGGCAGCCTGAGGTAGCAGATGCTGGAAGGCAGGGAGCAGCAGTAAGGTGTTGGAGGATGAAGCTTTGTGTGTGCGCCACACAGCTAACTATCCCCCTCTCCTCAAGTGCCAAAGTAAGATTCAACTGCCAGTCTAGCACATTCTGTACCTAGAACTGGGATACGTGTATCCCATTTTGCCGCTTCATCTCAATAGCAATATTTCTTGGGCTGGTACCGGCCACAACCTAAACTGTCAGAGAGCAGGGTGCCACCCATAGGAATCAACTGGGCAAATAAGGTAATAATCAGCGGGCCTTCTGCAGGTTTTATTGTCCACAGATAAGTTATATAGCTCAATCCTCACTCTAGATCTTCTTTCCAAGGCAAATCTGTGTGGCATCTTTGGTATTCTGTTTGTGACATGAAATAAAATCTGTCTTATTCTGAGTCCCAATAATTCAGAATGAGAAACAGTACGGGGATGTGCTTAGTGAAATTGTTCTTTAGAAACAAACCATCCTGATTATGATGTAATTCCAACTCTTTCCAAAAGCATCAATCAGTGGGGTCCGGACTTCCTCATCCTTATGTGGCTAATTCAGTAGATCCATTGAAATCAATATGACTTCCAACAGGACTAGCTGATTTCAGTTGGTTCATACTAAACATGACTAAATAAATCTAAATAGGACCTAAGGCCTTCAAAGCTCACTAAAATCCAAAGGAGGAAAAATTATCTCTGCAGTCTAAGGAAAAAAAAACATAGTCTGGAAATAGAAACTGATGGGTTGGGGTCAAGTTTAATATATTTTCTCTAACCTCAATTTGTATCTTTCTTAGTTTAATCTGGTGTGTGAGGATGCCTGGAAACTGGATCTGTTTCAGTCATGTGTGAATATAGGATTTTTTGTAGGTTCTATAAGCATCGGATACATGGCAGACAGGTTGGTCAGATTTCATACATTCTGGTGTGTTATTTTATGTTTATTTGGAAGAATAAAAACTAGAGAGCCAAACAATATTCAGAATAGAATATAGTTTCAACCAACTTTGAAGGGGCAACTGCATACAGAGATGGCTACCATATTTTCTCTGGTCGCTGATCCTGGTTAGATGAAAATCAGATACCTTCTCATTTTGTTTTGTGACATTCCACATAATTTCAACAATTCTGTCACCATTAACAGCTGTCTGAATTCTAGGTTAGTGCATTCATTCAATCAGAATGATGCTTGCCCAAAATGTTTGTATTAAGAAGCAGACAGACAACTAACTAGAGTCAGATTTATATCTGTGAAAATTCTCAGTCATCCAGGTGAGGTTGCCTGGAAGTTGAGTCGTGGCAACTGGACTTCTTTCTTGTTAGGCTGAAACATTTTGCAACTTATCCAAGTAGCTTTTTCAATCTGAGGAGAGTTGGTAGGAGATCCCTGATATATCCTCCATGTTGGCCTGTGTATATCCAAAATGGACCTTTAACAAGTCAATGTCCCAAGCCAGCAGGACAATGGAATGGTCTGAGACCCAGAGCTGATGGAAGAACCTGGTCATTCCTTACATGGTGGGTGTGTCTGAAAAGCACAGAAGGATTTTTGGTAAACACCATATACCCGGGCACTTCAAACCTACAAACACACTAAGGCAGAGACATCCACTAAAAAGACCGGACGCCGAAACACAACAGGAGCAATATAGTATATGTGGTCCAATGCAAAGAGAAGTGTTTGGAGCTCTACATTGGAGAAACCAAACAGCCACTAAACAGGAGAATGGCCCAAAACAGGAGGGACCACAATCAGCAGTGTTCTTTCCGTTGAAGGACAAAGGACACCCATTTGATGACCAAGATGTACTCATTTTGGACTGAGAAGATAGGTGGTTTGAGAGAGGGGTCAGGGAGGCCATTCATGTGCATATAGAAAATCCCTCACTCAACAGGAGTGGAGGCCTTAGATACAATCTGTCTCCTATTTATCATGTTGTCCTTTCATCCTACCCAGAAAGACTGGTAAAGGTAAAGGTTCCTCTTGACATTTAGTCCAATCGTGTCCGACTCTAGGGCATGGTGCTCATCCCTGTTTCCAAGCCATAGAGCCAGCGTTTGTCCAAAGACAGTTTCCGTGGTCACATGGCCAGAAAGATTAGGCTCACACAAATCAGAAAGACCACTGATAACTACTGTGAATGACCCATGACAATAGGTGGAGAAGGACTTCAGAAGTGGAATTATCCATCATCCTCAGTCCTTTGTCCTTCTAACAAGCCTATTCAATCCTAAGGGGAATTATAACCAAAGTCAGGGATCTCCTACCAACTCTCCTAAAACTGAAGAAGCCACTTGAATGAGTAGTGAAACATTTCAACATTACAAGAAAGAAGTCCAGTTGCCATGACTCAACTTCCAGATAGAGTCGGATTCATGAATGTGCAGTTGGGCTGATGAAATCTTATTTCATTGTCTTGTCCACTGCATTTTAAAACCTTCAGCTTACTGAAGATACTACACAGAAATTTGAGGAAACCTTTGAAGGGATATGCTCTGGTGCATTGGGGAAGGTGGCAAACTGAGCAAGAATCTGTGAGTGGAAGCCTTTGGCTCATGAGAGGCCAGCCCCCTGTGTTCTGGAATAGCTGACGATAGTATGCTAGAGATAAAATTTTAATTCTTCTAGCATACTCCTCTTCTTTGTTGTACTTTCATTTCTGTTGAAGGGATGTTTCAGATTTTTGAAGCTCTGAAGAGCACCTACAAGATCTGTGAACAAACAATAGGAAGTGAATATTTTTCCACCTATGAAAAATATTTCACACTGTTTTAAGAGGAAGCTCCCAGAGAAGGGGGCAGGAAGAGTGCTTTATTGGATTAAAATGTTTTTTTTTCCTTTAGTTTCAAACAGTAGTAATTCAATTTTCATTTTCATAGCATTAATTGTGATGTGTGTTCCTTCTTTTGTTTAGCTAATAACAACAAATGTTGTATATCTTGTCTCTCCAGGTTTGGACGTAAACTGTGCCTGTTAATCACCATCCTTATCAATTCCATCTCTGGTGTTCTCATGGCTGTTGCACCCAGCTATATTTGGGTGGTAATCTTCCGGCTGATACAAGGACTAGTCAGCAAAGGGGGCTGGTTAACAGGCTACATCCTGAGTAAGGTTCTTCAGCTTTGTTTCTCCTGAGAATTAAACAAGGGATTTAGAATGTTTAATAGGCCTGATCTCCCAGAATTGCATATGGGAGTTGTAAGTATTTCTAGGTCAATAGAAATCAAATAGACTATGAAATTGGTAGTAAGAGGTGGAGTAGCTGTATTTTCTCTGCCAAAACAAGACCGGGAACAGATTGCGGTGCTGATCATGAACTGTCGATACCCAATATTAAAGCTGAAAAAGTACAATAACAGAAATGTAGGGCCAAAATATAATTTAAACAATATTCCTGATGTATTTAAGGGCCACATAAGGAACAGACTTGCATTATGAAACTCAAGTGAGCATGAACCAGAAGAATTATAGATTGAAACTAGAGATGTTGTTAGGGAAGAATGCAACAATATAATTCCTATAGTAAAAAAGAAAAAAGAAAAACTAGGAAAACCATGGGACAAACACTTAAAATTGTAAAGGGCAAGTGAGAAGCAAAAATAAAAGGTGGCAGAAATAGGGTCAGAAAACTGAACGCAGTTTTTCAGCAACACTCAAACAGAGACAAAGAGAACTATTACAGTAACCAGTACAACACACACACACCCCAAAAAAGCAGAGGAGAACAACAAAAGGAGGAAAAAGCAGGAGATCTCTTCCAGAAGATCCAAGAAATCAAAGGAAAATTTCAGTCTAGGTTAGCAATGCTAAATGACCAACAGGGAAGCACATTATCTCACCAGAAAATAGAGAAGGTGGAAACAGTATACTGAAGGCCTATATAAACGAGATGAAAGGATGACAGACCCCTTTGAAGAAGAATGATGAAGAAACTGCAGTTCTAGAAAGTGAAGTGAAAGCTGCTCTGAAAACACTAGGAGGAAATAAATCACCAGGAGTAGATGAAATACTAATAGAACTATTTCAAGCCACAAAGGTGGAATCTGTCAATCCTAACTAGAATATGCCAACAAATATAGAAGAGAAGACATCTTGTAGATCTCTCATTCATAGTTGGAAGAGACTTGACAGCATGTAACAACAACAATAGGCCCTGCCAAGGAAGATAAGGATCAATGAACCATGCAGTGCAAGCCTTTAACACTGAAGATGTGAGTACTTTTTACAGGATACAGAGGCAAGCTTTGTAGATACAATGGGATTTTTAGATGAATATGTATAAGGCTGCAGATGGGTTAGCTGGTATATTTAAAAACACACACACACACCCAAAAAACAAATGGAATTGTGAGAAAAAAATTTCATTGCAATTGCCTTCAAATGTTTTTCCTCACTGTTTACTTACAATGATTTTGTTTCCTCCTCCACCCCTCTTTCCAAAGTCACAGAATTTGTTGGCTTGAACTACAGAAGAACAGTTGGAATCGTTTACCAAGTGGCTTTTACAGTTGGGCTCCTTGCACTTGCTGCTATTGCCTATGCCATTCCTCACTGGAGGTGGCTGCAACTCGCGGTGACTCTGCCGAACTTCTTTTTCTTGCTCTATTTCTGGTAAACAAGGCTTCCACTACAAACCTCGCCCCCCACAAAACAAAGAGAAACTTAGAAATGAAGTAGCAGCTGCTGAAATCACAGCCAGTTACATTTTGACAAAACATGCCGAGTTTGCTAAATTATCCTAAATTCAATGTTCCACAAAGAATGCACCAGTTACCACCAACTTTTGTTTTAAATCCGGTTACTTAATTTGAATTCAACACTGAGTTGATGTTAGAATATTTTAAATATATAAAATTCTGTCCAGAGAGGAAGCATCATTAGAAACAAGAATCCAAAGAGTCTCATGGCACCTTTAAGACTAACTGTAAAGATTCATCTTAGTGTGAGTTTTCATAGATCACAATCACTTTGAAAGCTGCAGACAGCACAACAGAACAACTTGGGGTATACAGTATATCTGCACATTTATTGGGCAGAACCTAAGCAAAATTGCATGGAGAATATTATCATTACAGTGATGACACTGACCATGGACAATCCAGACGGATATGTGTGAATAAATAACCCTGATAAGCATTTGACAGCTACTTTATCGCCAGACTATTCATGCTAATTGTCCATGGCTAAGATATGACATAACTTTTTACTTAGTGAATCATAAATTTGTAAATCCTTACTGATTCAATGGGCCTATTCTAGTAGTAATATACCACTGGATTTCACCCAATAGATATAACATTATCATGTTGGAATTAATAAAACAATATTCACTGTTGATCTGCTGCATGGTCCTTATAATTGTGCTATCAATTCAATTCTTACTTAGGGTGTCTTTTTTCAGGGTTTTCTAGATAGGAAGTACTCAGAAGTGGTGTACCAGTCCCTTATTCTAGGGCCACCCTGGGACTGTGTAGCTTGCCCAAGGTCACAAAGGCTGGCTCTTCTGTGATGCCCAGTGGGAATCAGACTCCCAATCTCTGGTTCTGTAGCCAGATATCTAATTCACTGAGCTATAGAGCTTGCTGCCTGGTTCTTACCGCCAGAGATATAGTTGAATAGAAAGAGTTGTAAGAATAAGTAAGAGCTGAGTCTGGCAAAGATCCTAATGATATCAGAATCTTGAAAGGGGTGTTAAAATGTTTGTGTTTGGAGCTGTATGGGGTAAGGGAATGTCTACAGTAGTGATAAAAATGGGGTTTGCCACAATGGCTTGTGCTAGCATTATAATTAGCATTTTCAGTATGCTGTGTTGCTCTGTTCCTATCCCCTACAATGAGTAGCGGCACCTGAAGTCGTGTTAGTATGTACTTTGTGCATCTAAGTAAGTGGAGTGTAAACTACAACAGCACATGTTAAAATAAATCCTCAGAGGTATCAAAAGATACCACAAGACTGTTAAAGGTACCACAAGACTCCTTGATACTTTGTTGAAAGATACAAACATGGCTACTCTCTTGAAAATTAGATGTGGGATGGTATGGTTTTGGAAAATCACATCCTAGTCATGTTACTGGCTGAAAGAAAAGTTAAGGTATACGACAATGGTTCCAACACCTGGGTCCCCAATGTTCTTGGACTGCAACTCTCAGATATCCTGGCCAGCATAGCTAATGGTGAAGGCTTCTGTGAATTGCAGTTCAAGAACACCTGGGTACCTAAGGATAGGAACCACTGGTATAGGGCATTCAGCATGGTGGAGATTATTATTACTATCCTGTTTCCCCGAAAGTAGGACCTAACCTGAAAATAAGCCCTAGTATGATTTTTCAGGTTGCTCGTAATATAATCCCTACCCCCAAAATAAGCCCTAGTTAAGTGAAACCACGTCCTCCACCACTGTGCAGCAACCAGAAGATGACATGATTGTAAAATAAAACATCCCCTGAAAATAAGCTCTAATGCTTTTTTTGGAGCAAAGATTGATATAAGACCCTGTCTTATTTTCAGGGAATCACGGTATTATTAGTTTTATTTATATGCCACATTTCTCCCAACAAGGGACCCAAAGATGTCTGTCTTGTGTCACACATTATATTTAACCCATCTCAGACCAACTCTCATATGACATTTTCCCTTTTGTTTTTCCATTAGTGTCATACAATGACATACATTTTGCCACCAACTCATTACGGCTATTCTTTTGGTGCTACAGGTGTCTTCCAGAGTCCCCAAGATGGTTGATAGCCCAGCAGGAAAATGACAAAGCCCTGAAGATCATTAAACGCATTGCCAAAGGAAACAGGAAGAAACTGCCTCCTTCTATGGAGGTAACCAGACCTAGTTAGCATTCAAATACTATACTAGGAGAATATATCTGTGAAGATATCCAGTTGAGGTTATCTGGAAGTTGAGTCATGGTAACTGGACATCTTTCTTATTAGGTTGAAAATCCCATCTCTGCAGTCCTTCTCCATCCATTGTCATGGATTGTTAATAGTAGTTAATAATGGTCTTTCTGGTGTGTGGTCCTGATCTTCCTGGGGATGGATGACAGACTGTGGACATCCAAAATGGGTGTTTAACAAGGCAATGTCCTGACCCAGTGGGACAATGAAACAGTCTGAGGCCCAGAGCTGACAGAAGAACCTGGTCACTCCTTACATGGCAGGTGTGTCCCCAGAAAGATTAAGACCACACACACCAGAAAGATCACTGTTAACTACTGTTAATGACCCATGACAATGGGTGGAGAAGGACTGCAGAGGTGGGATTTTCCCTCACCCCCAGTCCTTTTCAAACCAGGGGGAAGTGAAACCAATGTGGAGGATATATCAGGGGTATCCTACCAACTCTATTCAGACTGAAGAAGCCACTCGGATGAGTAGCAAAACATTCAGCCTAATAAGAAAGAAGTCCAGTTGCCATGACTCAGCTTTCAGATATACTAGGAGAACTGGCATACAATTGGTATTACGACTGGAAACTCAGCATATAGGAACCAAGTCAACAGACCAAAATACTGTAAATGTGGGTTTCTAGTCTTCTAAGTGCTTCTTGCTTAGTTCAGACCATAATAGTAACTAAAAGCAATCCTTCTGTGGGATCCTTAGAGGGGCATGATAGAAATATAACAATAAATAAATCAAATGTTGTTCGGAGTAATGAGCTGCTTAACAGACATTAATGAACTCCAAAGCAGAGACTATCACAACTAGATTGCTTCCAGAAGGACTAGCTTTGCCGAGAGGCAGACCAAAACAATTAGCTGGCAGATTTTGAAGGATGTGGAGTGAAACCAAGAGTTTGAGATTTAGACACTCCCCAACTTAATTTCCTGCCCTCAGTTACTGTCCCATTCCCTGTTTTGATGTAATATTTCACTGCTTTTTGGTTCTTGGAATGAGGGAGTGTGCTAACTTGTGCAGCAGCAAAAGGCATCAGGTCAGCCTTGATCCTCTCAGTATGTTCATGAACTTTGAAGCTAGTTAGGGTAATACATGTATGTGTGTGTGTTATACATTTTATCAAAATGTTTTCAAGCCACAGAATTATTTTCAAAATTATTCCTGTAAACTGCATGCAATTAGAATAGTGCAAAAGTTTGTACATAATTTTGCTGATCTTACCCTTCAAATTATTGCAGATACTTCTCTCTTCAAATGCATTTAAATTTTGCCCCAGGAAAAAAAATCTAGGGGCATCTTGAAAGTATGAGAACCTTCCCTATCTTGACCCCATCAAATCTCTTTAATGAATTCACAGCAGTTCTGTTTAATTCCTATAAAATGTATACAGATGCTATGCCTGAGCAGGATTCTTCAGATTTATTTCAGACTTTGTTTTTAACAGGAATTTGGTACTACCTTTACAAATAATCCAAATATTATGGCTTGCATAGTCCAGTAGAAAGATGCTCACATAACTTTTCCCGTAATAAAATGGCTTTGTTTTTGCCAAACAACATTGCAACACATCAATGATTCAGTTCTCATACCAGATAATGATTGCTCAGAAGACCTTTTAAAGTTTCTTATTCCTCTGCCTCCAAATGGCTGTCAATAAAGGCCAGTGTGCGCCACAGGATAGTGAATGTTGAACACAGGCTAATGAGGCTTCTCAGTTATAAAGCTCTCTTGATAAATCATCTTTTCCTAACTTCCTTCTGGTGTCATTTCTCTGGATCCAAACCTGGGGCAACCATACCATTAGGCAGAATGAATGGCCTGACTCAGAAACCAAGAGAAGCAGCGGCAACTTGTTGGAGGACAGAACTGTGTTTTCTGAGCAGCCTGTCCTGTATCCCTTGAACTAGTGTGTGCCTTAAGATGCAATGGAGAATGTTGTCTTTTTCCAACTGCTGCACAACTGCTGCTCAGGTCGGCTTATTATGCACATGGAATGGGGTGGGTGGCTTGAATGGCATCTTGTCCTTTGGCTGGTGCAGTAAATGCCTTCATCTAGCCCTGATTGAAGTCATCGCATTTTAAGGGGAAATGCCTTTGAAATGAGCACAACTGGATAAAAGCAATTGCTTTACAACATATTGCCATGCTTTCTTTCTTCTGACCATTGATTGCTCTGCAAGAAAGGAAGGAAGGAAGGAGGATCTTAGGTAATCAGTTTTAGACTCCAAGCCCTCTTTGTGTAAACAAAATTAGTATTTCCAGGACTTGAATGAGTAATACTATAAAGCATATCCTCGCCGACTTCTCTTGTTCTTTCCTTTTAAGAGCAAAGAGTTTGATGAAATAGGTCATAAACGAAAAATGACATTTTTATTTCTTTGTTTTAAGCCTAGAGACAAATTTTTATAAGGTCTAAAAGCAGACAGCTTCATACTGTGAACTGATAACAAAGCCTTAACTCAAAAACATCCCTGTATATCCCCCTCCAAGTCATCCGTAGGAAAGGGAGTGTTAAATGGCCTCAACAGCTTCCAACATAGAATCCGTGTCCCAGGTGTAATCCAGCAGAACAAGCTTTATTAATAAACTCCAGCAACAAACATGGCCCATTTGGGGGAAATCTAAATATGATGGCATGGTATCACTTTTCAAAGAAGTGGTATCATTCAGAATACTCTCAAGAGCTTGTGTCAAGAAGCAGTTCATTTCACCCTCTCTGAGTCAGCTTTGTCCTGGGAATTACCACTGATTGGGAGTTCTGCTCTTTTGATCTCTCTGGATCAAGATTATATCTCTTGAACTCTGGACTTCTGGAACCAGTTGTTGGAGGCACTGAAATTGTATTTTGTGTTGTCACCTTTGTCATTGGGTAACCATAAGATATTCCAGTGGGATGCTTATGGGATGTCTGGTGAGGCACCATTGCGTCAAGATATCCTGAGGCTAGTTTATCACTGCATAGAGTGATACCAGTTAAGGCTGGGGCCACTCCAGTGCCCAGTGCTATTCATCTTCATCCTCTTCATCCCCTTTGACACCCTACTGATGTGTTGCTCATGTTTCCAAACCCACAGACAGACACACAACAGTCTCATATTTTGTGCCCTGTGAGAATGTCCCCCACCCTCACTTGCCAAGCCCAAGCTCTTATTGGAAGACACCCTCCTCAGGACTAGAAGCCCCTCCTGCTCCCTTGTCAGGGTTTCCTTGTTTCCTGACAGTTCTAGAAGTTTCCCTTCCCAGCCTCCCAGCCTTCTGTCCTTTATCCAAGGGTGTCAGAGTTTTCAACCTCCATTGGGGTGTGGGGTAGCGTGGGCTGGCTTGTGTGTTTGCAGCCATTTGAGGGAGTCACCACGGGTAGTGACGACCCCAGGGAAATTTATCCACTGATACACCAGTGAGGAAGGCACAAAGGTTGGCCTGATGCCAGGTCTGTCTTTTGCCACAATCCCATATATCCTGATAAAATTATTCAAATCATCAGATATTTTAATGTATACACAGAGAAAATATAAAAACACAAGTCATTTATTTTTTATTTGTTACATGAATATCCTACCTTTCTTCTAGTGGAGCTCAATGCAATGTATGCTGCTTTCCTATTTCCCCTTTATTCTCACAACAACTATTTCAATTAGGTTAGGCTGGGAGACTGTCTGTGGCTCGGTACTTCAGAGATAGCACAGCAGGGAAATATGGATGCTGTTGCTTTTTGTTGCTAAAATGGCTGAAGGGTCTTAGATTCAACTGCGTTTTTTCTTTTTACGAATGCTGATAATAGAAGTTACTTCATAAAAAGCTGTAGCTGAGATCCTGTTGCTTAGCATAGTAAGTCACATCTAGAGTAGGTCCAATGAATCAGTGGGAATTTGCTGAGTTAACTCCTCTTTAAATTCCACTAATTTAGTAGACTTACTATGCTAAGCAACAGGATTTCAGCCAATGTCTGTTATTAGCAGATGCCAGTGAACACTGCTGAAACTCTGTTCCAACAGCATCACAACTAAATGACAGGCTCAACATGTGTGTTAGTTGAGTTGGCCCAATATATTTTTCCACCTGAAGCAAAGTAGCAAATGATGCCCCTACAACTTCTACCCAGGTGAAGGTGCACAGGGCACTAAGTTGGCTAAGTTAATTTGACATAAAAGGCAGCATATCCTTCAAACATCTCTTCCCAGTTCTGGTAGTAAATGTATTAACAGCAAATTAAATGACTAACACAATATGCTGGCCTTTCGTGATGACATCTAAAATAGGATGATTGAGCTGGGTGCTCCCCTTTGGCTAGTGTTAGGGCTGGCCCTGTATGGAATTAAGTTTCCACATGTTTATCCCTCGATGGGTAAGGAAGTATATGCACAGTTCTCACCAGTGCAAGCAGGGAATTTAACATGGAGGAGTGGACTGTAATATTTGTAAGACAGTCTCAAATGCACACGTGTATACACTAATCCTCACCCATAAGTCATCAGAAGAACATTGGTATTTTCAACGTATGTGCTAGAAATGTTTATATGGTACTTTTTTAAAAGAATTATTTGTTTCTCCTTCTAGAATTTCCAGGCTGAAGAAGAGGTGGGTGACAAGCTACGTCCTTCCTTTCTAGACCTGGTGAAAACAACTCAGATAAGAAAACACACGCTCATCTTAATGTACACTTGGTAATATAACTTCCTTTTTTAAAAAATTCAAACATGATGTATTTTACCACAACATATGCTGTCCATGGTCATGATCATGCAAGAGTCCTGGTCCAAAATGTAACTTTTTCTGGAGCTCTGGAGGAGAGGTCTTTCTGAAGGAGCAGTGCTTTTGGAACACAAATATGGCTTCATTTTGCCTCTATTCTTTGTCTAGGTTCACAAGTTCGGTACTATATCAGGGCCTCATCATGCACATGGGAATTGCTGGCGGCAACATTTATCTCGACTTTTTTTACTCTGCTCTTGTTGAATTTCCAGCTGCCATCATCCTCATCCTTACAGTGGACCGCATAGGCCGTCGCTATCCTTGGTCTGCAGCAACACTGATGGCAGGCACCACCTGCCTCATTACAGCCCTAGTCCCAGAAGGTGAGTTCTGTGGAGAGACATCCTGACGTGTCCCTTCTCTGCACCCTGTTCAAGCGCTGCCATACTTTACTTTTCCCCACAATATTTTTCTCAATGGACAGGTAACAAACATGGACTTTCTTTCCACAAGGAAGATAAGTTTGAGAAGGCTCTCTTAATATGACTTTTTGCACCGAAAAAAGCAACAGAAACCAAGAAACACTTTCAGAGTAGACCTTAGGTCTAGATGGGTGGGATAGAAATCAAATAAATAAATAAATAAATAAATAAATATTTCTGTATATCTTTTCAGATCTTTATTGGATTAAAATGACAGCTGTTTCAGCCAATGTCTGTTATTAGCAGATGCCAGTGAACACTGCTGAAACTCTGCTCCAACAGCATCACAACTGAATGACAGGCTCAACATGTGTGTTAGATGAGTTGGCCTAATATATTTTTCCACCTGAAGCAAAGTAGCAAATGATGCCCCTGCAACTTCTACCCAGGTGAAGGTGCACAGGGCACTAAGTTGGCTAAGTTAATTTGACATAAAAGGCAGCATATCCTTCAAACATCTCTTCCCAGTTCTGGTAGTAAATGCATCAAGAGCAAATTAAATGACTAACACAATATGTTGGCCTTTCATGATGACATCTAAAATAGGATGATTGAGGTGGGTGCTCCCCTTTGCCTAGTGTTAGGACTGGCCCTGTATGGAATTAAGTTTCCACATGTTTATCCCTCGATGGGTAAGAAAGTATATGCACAGTTCTCACCAGTGCAAGCAGGGAATTTAACATGGAGGAGTGGACTGTAATATTTGTAAGACAGTCTCAAATGCACACGTGTATACACTAATCCTCACCCATAAGTCATCAGAAGAACATTGGTATTTTCAACGTATGTGCTAGAAATGTTTATATGGTACTTTTTTAAAAGAATTATTTGTTTCTCCTTCTAGAATTTCCAGGCTGAAGAAGAGGTGGGTGACAAGCTACGTCCTTCCTTTCTAGACCTGGTGAAAACAACTCAGATAAGAAAACACACGCTCATCTTAATGTACACTTGGTAATATAACTTCCTTTTTTAAAAAATTCAAACATGATGTATTTTACCACAACATATGCTGTCCATGGTCATGATCATGCAAGAGTCCTGGTCCAAAATGTAACTTTTTCTGGAGCTCTGGAGGAGAGGTCTTTCTGAAGGAGCAGTGCTTTTGGAACACAAATATGGCTTCATTTTGCCTCTATTCTTTGTCTAGGTTCACAAGTTCGGTACTATATCAGGGCCTCATCATGCACATGGGAATTGCTGGCGGCAACATTTATCTCGACTTTTTTTACTCTGCTCTTGTTGAATTTCCAGCTGCCATCATCCTCATCCTTACAGTGGACCGCATAGGCCGTCGCTATCCTTGGTCTGCAGCAACACTGATGGCAGGCACCACCTGCCTCATTACAGCCCTAGTCCCAGAAGGTGAGTTCTGTGGAGAGACATCCTGACGTGTCCCTTCTCTGCACCCTGTTCAAGCGCTGCCATACTTTACTTTTCCCCACAATATTTTTCTCAATGGACAGGTAACAAACATGGACTTTCTTTCCACAAGGAAGATAAGTTTGAGAAGGCTCTCTTAATATGACTTTTTGCACCGAAAAAAGCAACAGAAACCAAGAAACACTTTCAGAGTAGACCTTAGGTCTAGATGGGTGGGATAGAAATCAAATAAATAAATAAATAAATAAATAAATATTTCTGTATATCTTTTCAGATCTTTATTGGATTAAAATGACAGCTGCTTGCTTAGGCAGGATGGGCATTACAATGTGCTATGAAATGGTTTGCTTAGTCAATGCAGAATTATACCCTACATTCCTCAGGTGAGTGAAACATCTTCAGATACTCTATGGTGGCATGGTATCACTTTTCAAAGAAGTGGTATCATGAGGCATTGACAATGGAGCACAGGGTGAGGTGTCTCCGAATGATCCTTCCAGTCGGTGGTGTAGTGGATGCAGGACTAAGGCCCCAGAACTATCTGAATAGCATGACACCATGATGTATTCCCTGCAGGCTTCCCTGTTCCCTCTGACCTTAGTAGCAAACTTCACAGTAGCTGGAAGGAAAATGAATTTTCCTTGGAAAAGTGTATAGTTGTGAAATTTGAGTGTGGCTTGTTCTTAAACAGGCAGTTAAGAGTAATTAACTTTATTGAAGACCTGTTCCTCATGCAAACAAAATCTACTAAAAGTCCTCTATTGAAATGGATCCATCTTGCTGCCCCTATTTTTTATTTTTATTTTCTTGAATAGGAGTAGCTATAGAATTGTTACAATGGGCATGTGTACAGCCACATTTACCATTACACCACTTTCCACTGCTCTGGCAGTAATGACAGTAACAATGACTCAATGGTTTCCCTGGCAACATTCACAATAAAATACAATATATGAGGTGATGGCCAGCCTGTTGAGATTTCAGCCATTAGCCTTTTAAAAATATTTGCTCAAGACTGAGCTCGCAGTTCTTGAGCCAGTCAGATGCTGAATAGAGAAGGTGGCCAATGAGGGTACTGGAATGAGAAGAAGCTTCCCCCTTGGTTACTGGGATGACTGTAAGCATCCACCTTTAGCATCTTCATTCAAAATCTCCCACCTGGTTGTTTTCCTTGCTTTTTTTCTTTTGAACCAACTAACTAGATATTCAAAGCTCTGTTATGTACTTTGGTACATAATGGATGAAATCTTATTACTTAGTGTAGTCATCATCAGCAGCAGCAACTAAAATAGGCCCACTGAATCAATAGAACCTATGGAGAAGTTAACCCACTAAATTCCCACTGATTCAGCGGGCCTGGTTAGTGTGACTTATTGTGTTGAGCAACTGAATTTCAGCCAGTATTTAGCTAGCCCTGTAGTAAGGGCAGCAAAAAGAAAGGCAAAATGGCACCAATCTGTTCAGCTCCTCCTTGACCCTGTGTGTGTGGTACATTAGCCATTGAATTCTGCAAAGGAGGAAGGAGAGACAGTAAGAAATTTAAAACTCTGGCTGTCAGCTTCTTAACAGACACCAGGAGTCAGCAGGGTGTGTATTTTTTCACTTTTATCTTCCAAACAAGAGCAGTCTGGACTGTAAGAATGAAGACTCTTACATCTTTAAGCATCCTTAATTCACCCCCAGATTTGATCATTCACTCATGACAGGGGTCAGTCCAGAGGCAATTCCTACTATATATTACAAAATGTCTTAGAAATATTGAAGACCTCCCAGCAAATGTAATTGGATTTATGTGACATTAGCCCAAGTCTGAGGATGTTTGGAGTTCAGTGTGTTGGAACAGAAAGAACCCAGATGTAACCAGATACACCTCTGGTTTGAAGGAGGCACTTTAACATCTTTTGGCCTAGTTTTTGACTTCCTGTTTCTCCCTAGTCTCCCTCCTTTGCTTCATCTGGATGCACTAACTCAAAATGCTTTCCTCTCGTCCCCTACCCTAATGACCCACCTCTTTCCAATCAAATCTCCCATCCCAAAAGATTCCTTTTCTCCACATGCCTATGCCACCGATCACCTTCCTTTCAACTTTGTGCAAACATTCATGACTCTTTCCCTCACATCTGCTGCCTGATCCACCCAGACTGCCTAACTAGATCACTTTCTAGGGCTGATTGACCAGCCTTCACTTTTCAGGAAGCAGCTGAAGCAGCAACAGCAGCTATGGTTTGTGGGAGCTGGGCAACTGACTAGGGAGACAGATTAGTTCTGCAACCAAAATGGAGGATCAGAGTGGAAAACAAGGCTGAACACCAAGTAACATTAAACTTGCTTTCTGTGGTTCAGTAGTGCACAGTATTACAGGCCATGCTTCATAGTCTATTAGTAAATAGATACTATTAATAGATACTATTAATTATAGATACTAGATACTAGATACTATTAATAAATATAATGGTTGTCCCATTCTTTTAAAGGAATCTGGGAGTCCTTAACTCAAAATGCTTTCCTCTCGTCCCCTACCCTAATGACCCACCTCTTTCCAATCAAATCTCCCATCCCAAAAGATTCCTTTTCTCCACATGCCTATGCCACCGATCACCTTCCTATTAACTTTGTGCAAACATTCATGACTCTTTCCCTCACATCTGCTGCCTGATCCACCCAGACTGCTTACCTAGATCACTTTCTAGGGCTGATTGACCAGCCTTCACTTTTCAGGAAGCAGCTGAAGCAGCAACAGCAGCTATGGTTTGTGGGAGCTGGGCAACTGACTAGGGAGACAGATTAGTTCTGCAACCAAAATGGAGGATCAGAGTGGAAAATAAGGCTGAACACCAAGTAACATTAAACTTGCTTTCTGTGGTTCAGTAGTGCACAGTATCACAGGCCATGCTTCATAGTCTATTAGTAAATAGATACTATTAATAGATACTATTAATAGTATCTAGTAACAGATACTAGATACTATTAATAAATTTAATGGTTGCCCCATTCTTTTAAAGGAATCTGGGAGTCCTTGTCTGCTCTTCCATGTGTGATATTGGTGGGATCATAACGCCATTCATTGTCTACAGGCTGGCAGATGTCTGGCATGAGCTTCCACTTGTGGTTTTTGGTAAGAATCTGGTTGTTTTATGTTGCCTGAGAGTAGATAGCCCATTCTAGGTCCATGTGTGAAAGGAGCTCATACAGAAGCTATCTATCTGTACACCTAAAGAGACTGGACCTATAATTCCTCTGTATGCTACCTTTAAGAAGTTTTGGCTGGGAGGGACCTTTCTGAGCTAGGGTGACTGTCAATCAATTCAGGGGTAATCAATTGTTACCTCTCTGCCTCAGATTTTGAAGAGAGCTTTGTTTCTCTACCTTTCTTCATTCTTTTTCAGTCAGTATTCAGTTAGTGTTGGAGTTAATCATGTAGTGCAGTATGTACAGTCAGTAAGCAGACCATGAGTCAATTAAGCCCTGCTCTTATAACTAGTCATTTTTCCCTACAATATGCTGTTTTTGATCTTTTCAGAAATGTGAGTAAATAGAACTTTTATTTTTTCTTTTACCAAATTTCTCAAAATGAGTTATTGAGACTGTAAGTGCCAGTTGTTAACCACAAAAAGAGATGTTCTACTCTAGGAAGAATTAAAGCTAATTCTGCACCATGGGTCCCTGCACTATCTGCTGTGTAGCTAAAGGTTTTTAGCCAAACATTTCACACTTGGCCAAGAATAATAAGGGAATATCCAGACAGCGACTTAGGACACAAGTCCTGCATATTGTTTGGAGTGTGATATACAGATGATACTTGTGTATCTGACAGCAGGGCTTAAGTTTCTTCTTTTACTTCAGAAATTTCTTGGCAGGACATAGTGACCTCATTTATTTAGACTTCTCCTGGTCAAGAGGTTCTTAAGAAACAACCATCCTGAAATCCCACTGCCAGAAAGATCAGTATCATCCTGAAGAACTCAGCTTAATCACATTCCTGTATAATATTGCTCTTGTTTTTAAAATAAGGGGATTCGTTTTATTTCATTTGCAAGAGTATACACAGTTTGGAGTGGTACAATGAAAGGATGCAAGGATTGCATGCTACACAGCACCAGTGGGGACAAAATCATTTTGGGAAGGGACAGGGAATAATATAGAGTTGATGTCCGTCAACCTTCCTGAATCTGGCAGGGTGATCTTCAGCAGTGACAGCTGGGAAATGGATTACCAGTAGTGGCAGAAGCAGTAGCATTTCATGAGTAGTGGGAGCTACCATTTTAATTTTCCACAGTTCCACAGAGCACTCAGCATAGGTTCAGACAGGGGCACTGGGGAGTAGTCGTTGCAGTCAACTGGCCACTATGGATGGGCCTGGGTAGGAGTCAGTACTCATAGAGCTTAATGGGATCTTGGCAGCTGTCCCAGGACATTGAACTTCCAAAACGAGATCAATGAAAAAGAGTATTGGCTGGTTTTGATCTCTGCACTTGATATTGTCTTTCATTAGTTGTCTTAACTGCTGAGTTGGGATGGTAAGGCATCAGCATATTAAGGGGGCACTTAGGTTTGTTGTTGTTGTTTAGTCGTTAAATCGTGTCCAAGTCTTTGTGACCCCATAGACCAGAGCACGCCAGGCCCTCTTATCTTCCACTGCCTCCTGGAGTTGTGTCAGGATTCATGTTGGTAGCTTCGATGACACTGTCCAACCATCTCATCCTCTGTTGTCCCCTTCTCCTCTTGCCTTCACATTTTCCCAACAAAATATAGGACATAATACAGTACTGATATTGATCAATGGTTGCCAATATGGCAAAATAATATAAAGCTCACAAAATCAGTTAATTTCAAGGAGAATATATATATAAGATGTTTTATAG